TTCCTTCTTATAGTCTAATAGATACAATTAGTTTATTTCTCAACTACTTTTTGAAGGTATTTTAAGTGTGATCTACATTACTTTCTGGGACCATTACATTTGATATGATTGGGATCTTGTCTAGCACAGACATTGTGAGTCAAGATAAGGCATAGACTGGATTTGGACACTCTTGCTAGTTCCTAACTTCTCAAAGTGACATATAAAGGACATTATATTTATTTCCAGATATGAAAACATAATTCAATTGTAAAAGTAATCTCTCAACACAGTCTCTTTTTTCTTAGGAAGTTCATAAATGCATGTATTACAATTCTTCTTTGCCAGTTTAAGAGCAAGATGTGTGGACCATAGAAAACTGTGTCAAAGAGCAGAGCAGACTTGGTGGTAGGTGGATCAGTGGACAGATCACTTGAGATCAGACAATGTTCGGATGCTGGAGTTGACTTTTACTAAGATTTAATTTAATTTAATCCCACTGAGCCTCAAATTCTGAAACTATAAGCTATGCATCATAATTTTTATCTTGGGATAATTTTATAAAAATTAAATGTAAAGAGACTTAGGCACGGAAGGCATCTGCTAAATATAAATTTTTTTTCTTACTTTCCTGAAATTTTTTCCAGTTGTGTAGACATTTAGGATATTAAAGATCTAATGACCTGCATGATTCCATTGGTAAGAAGATAACAAAATGAAACAGATAAAAACGTCAAGCAGGATATGGCCTGGGAGTTAAAATGTTTGGTCTGGTAGCAACATAAACTCAATTTGTGATCTTGGATGCTACTTAAACTTTCTAGGGTTCAGCTTTTTTCACAATAAAATGGAAATGATTCCTATACTGCTGAGCAGTTGCTGAGTGTGGGTAGCAAGGATTAGAGACAACTTTTATAAAGCATCTGGTACATTAAGTAAACAGATTGTGAGTAATATATATTGTTCAGATATTTTTTATTAATTGAAGCTTGTATGCAGACTTCTTTTATGTACTTAATACTCTTTTTTCCCACCCAAAACCTTCAAAGGGTTATGGTTGGGACTTTGATCACCAGTTAAGTGATCTGGCTTTATAATTTGGCTGAGACTGGGGTTATAGTCTTAGTCTTGCCATTTGGGATATTAATTATTTAATTGTATGACTATATAGTTAACTGTTTAATGATATGACTTGAATGTGAATTCTAGGCCAAATTTTGTTCACTTGAAAAATAAGCAGGTTTGAATATGTAATTTCTAAGAGTCTCTGCTCTTATAAAATTGTGATTCTAGTGTCTTTTTACTGAGTTACAGCAGATAAATTCTCATATCTTTAGAGCTTAAACTATTACTCTATGATTTAATTTTCACATTGCCTTTATTCTATTTCTTCTTTAATTGCAAAAGGGGATAATTTTCATCACTTTGCAAACAAACCAATATCTATATTCTGATGTAGTGGCATTTCGGGATATTAATGCATCATACTTTAAAACAGTCTAGATTATACGTCAATCCAGAAATTCAGTAATATTGTATCTTGTAAAAATGAGAATATTAATGATTAATGATAAAGCTTCCTAAGCCTACAGGCCATTGGTCAATTAACATAATAAAATACAACAAAATTTAAAATAAAATAAAGGTTTAAGAGTTCAAATACAGTCTAAAATATCACATTTTTATATGCATTCTTCCCTTCCTTCCATTATGAGCACTTAAAAATAAAAACAAAAGATCCATTAACCAACAACAGGATTTTAATAATTATTAACTAGAAATGAAATAAAATTAATTTGACCTTATTTTAGAAGGTTGTCAGAGATCTACTATTCTATTTATGCAGATGGGAAATAAGTTCTAATGCATTCAACCTCAATTTCAGAAGTCTAACCACTTAAAACTCAGAAGTAAACATTTAGTGAGGATTCAAAATAAATGTATGGATTCCATAGCATGTACATACTATTTATCTTTTATTTGATCTTCATCTATTCCAGAGTTATCCTTCAATTGATATTTTGTTAAGTATCTACTATGTGCTTTCTCAATGTATTGGGAATGAAATTCAAATTCCTTACCCTGGCATTTCTCTGTTGTCACCTCCATTCACTCTGCTTCTTGGACCACTTTGCCTTAGCCACCCTGGAATGCTTTTAGTTTATTGAATACTCACTTTTTGTACTTTGTATTTGAATACAGGGCTTTGTATGTGGCATTTCTATTTGGAACTTTCTCCCTCCTAATACTGCTGTCTGCATCTCAAATTCTTCACCTGGCTGATTATTCTTGTCCTCCAATTCTCAACTCAAATGTTGCTTTCTTTGAGAATTCTATGCTCAGCATTCAATGAATATTACAATAAATTAACACCACCCATTGTTGTCTTTCATATATAGCTCTTTTCAAGGGCCAAAATTGATAATTTTGGATTATTTGTGTACTTATTTAATATCTGATAGTCTGAGGTGACTAAGTAAGGCCTTAGGGATCATTTCTACATTCCCAGCAGTAAGCACAGTTGAATAATAAAATTAATTATTCCATTGTAGTAGATTATTTAGGGCTCAGAAATGTCAATTAAATGTGGACTCTACCCTAAAAATTTATTTTCCAGTAAGGGAATAACACATGCACACAAATAATGTCATAAAATATGGAGAATAACTTGCATCTCAAAAATTGTATAGATGAGTGATGTATTAGTTTTCATAGAGCTTCTTTAAAAATTTAGAATAAACTTTGGCTAAAAATAACACAAATTTCTTCTCCCACAGTTTTGGAGATTAGAAGTCCAAATCAAGCTTTCAGCAAAGTCACTACATATGCCAAGTGAATTTGGTGGTTAGTGGAGAGTGGATATTTCTGGATATGTCAAGTAGGGAAGAATTCGTGAAATTAATAGCCTTTCAAACAGATTTGCATGGACTGATTTGAATATTTTTAAAAAACAGAATTATGCAAAACTCAGATGTTAGAAAAGATATGAATAAAGGTGGGTATAAGGATTTGGCCTGAGTATATGGTATATCCATCAAAAATGGGGTCAGGGTTAGATTTTAGAACCCCATGATATTGAAGAATTTTTTGGTAGTGAATATAAAATTATTGAAAGTTTTGTCTGAGCAAAGGAGACATAATTTTAGTGTTTCTGCTTCAGGAAAGTTAATGGGGCAGCAGTATTTATGATGAGCTGATACCCCTGCCTTGTTTCTCCCAATTAAGAAATTTCCACAAGTAAGAGAAGATGAAAGCCTCACTAGAACAGAGGTATCAAAGAAAGAGAATTAACAAGACCTAGCCACTTACTGGACATCTAGGAGCAGGAAGAGGTACGAATAATATATTTTGAGTCAAGGCCCTAGAGAGCTAGGGTAAGGAAAATTAGGATAGTTGAAAGGTGGATGATTTTTAACTAGGAGAATGAATTCAGTTTTAATATACAGACTCCAAGAAAACAGTGTGATTTCTATTTGAAGATTTAAATACAGATATTGAAAATGTAGGCCTGGTGTTTGGAGAGGTATTAGAACTAGAGATATAAACTTGTGAATTATCAATGGTGATATACTTGAAGTTCTATAAATCTGGAAAACAGTGTCAAGTCATGGGAAGAGTAGGCATATAGAGTTTGACAGACATGTTCACATTCTGTATCTAAACCTATCAGTCACATGACCTGGGACAAATTGCTTAATGCCTCTACTTTCTCATATAGGAAAAGGGGAAAATAATTTTATCCTTAATAAGGATTACATGAGTTGAGTAATTAAAGGGTCTTTTTATCTTTAAAGTTTCTTCCATGGGCTGGGGATGTGGCTCAAGTGGTAGCGCACTTGCCTAGCATGTGTGAGGCACTGGGCTAAATTCTCAGCACTACATAAAAATAAAATAAAGATATGTGTCCACCTAAAACTAAAAAATAAATATAAAAAAAGTTTTTTTAAAAAAGGTTCTTCCATATTTGGAGGACAAAGTTCCTAGTAAGAAAGCATTTATTTATTTAAAAGACTTGTTCTTTTAAAATTTTTTAGTTGTACATGCACACAATAAACATATTTATTTTTATTTATTTAATTTTATGTGGTGCTAAGGAAACCCAGTGCCTCACATGTGCAAGGCAAGTGCTCTATCACTGAGCTACAACCCAGCCCTGTATTTATTTTTTAATCCACTATCTTAAAAATATGTGATTCGCTGTCTTTTGATATTTAACTTTCTTTGATTGGACTCCATGTTGCAATCCCTACTTTTGTAAAACTGATGCTCCCATACATTCTGCTTCCCTTCTACTTGCTTCTCTTTAGTCACTGACACCAATAAGCATTATACTGTCAAATCACACTATTAGTATTCTCTGTTCCATTGGCTTTCATTTCATTTCAATTCCTGATGGCCCAGAAAAAAATGGTAACAATTTACTCCTTGTGCTTTCCTATTTAACATTTTATTTATAAGAAAGATACATCCATTTCCCAAATAGTTTACAAATTTCTTAATGACAGGAAATAAGTATTATTTTGCTATATATCCTGATGGCATTTTGCTTATTGGTGGCATAGAACTAATATGCATTAGTGTAGAGCAAAGAGACAAAAGGTTTGAGGAGTAAGTCTTGTTGAAGACCTCCATATGGGATCCTCATTTGACATTTCTATGCCTCAATTCCCCATTTTTTTTCAATATGCCAATGCTTCCATGTTTTTTGTTTGTTTGTTTTTGTTTTTTTAAGGAAAGATTAGTCTCTTTATATTTGTGCCATAAAAACTTGGCACTTTTGTACATGGTGACTTGAATTTCTTCATGTGAGGAAGGGGAACGTTTAGATGGAATAAAATAATTTTGAGGAAGAATTTACACTATATCCACGACTTAACTTTGGGTAAAATAATACAAAAAAATTCTTACACTCACTTCTCTGGATTTCTAAATGACAGAAACCAATAAAGGCAACATGAAATAAGTTATCAGGGAAATAAATTAATTTTAAATTATTAAACTTTATTTCATTTTTTTTTCAGACTCTGAAAAACTTTTCTCTGATGGAAATGACCCCTTGCTACAGTGACTTTCTGACACCATGCATGATGCACACTCTTGGAAAGTCTGAATTCCATGTCACAATGGCTCTGTTCAGATTACTGATTTCATCATGCCTGTAAGCCCAATTAAACTACTGAAGTTTCTAATGGTATGGTCCTCTGTCTACTCTGTAAATCATCATAAGAATCATAAAGAATATTAATTCAACCAATAAATTTGCCTCTGTACCATTCACTGCACCACCAAAGGCATGGTATCAAGAATACAGGAATAATTTTAAAAAATAAATGTTTTGAAAATAGTGTTTTCAGAATAGCCCTTTAAGTATGAATTTTGGATAGCTTGGTGAAGGGGACTGTAGTTCAACATGTCTCAAAACTGAGCCCCAAATGATTTGCTCTTCAAGAAATACTGCTCATGCCATAAGGATAGAGGAAAGATTGAAGCCTGTGCATCTGCATTTGTGTCTACTCTCAGGTCTACATGTCTAAGGATGATTTGCATGGGTGGTCAGTATGATTTGTGTAAATGCATGTGCCAAACTAGACCTCAATTTATTTATTTCAAAGTGGGTTGATGGGACTTTCAATTCCTACATCCTTTGCAGTTGTAATGTTTGATGATATTCTACCCTTAAATCCTTTCCACCTCAATTTTTCAATCTTAAAAAATGTGAAATATTCTATAAAGTTCTTTGATGTCCTTAAATGTTACTCAACATGGTAACAGTCCAATTCACTAGGCCTAAATTTTATCATTTTAGTTTTGCCTCAGAGGCGAAGTTTTATGAGCACCTTAATTTGCATCACCAGAAGCTGATTTAATAAAAATGAAAGGATTCCTTTTGGAAAGAAATCTTTAAAAGTGTTGGTGGGAGGAGGGACAGAAAAATTTATGTCAAATAGTTCTGGGTTCTAAAGAATATTGTGGACTTATTGTTTAGAAACTGGTCCTGAATTTTTACGTAATGAAAATAATTTCTGCTTATAGTAACTTTCTAATTTTCTGCTCTTGTGAGCCAATATCTATTCTACAACTTGACCCACTTCCTTGAAGCACAGTCTACTGTATGACAACTAAAAAAACTTAAATGGCAGAGCACTGTCCACCTAGAGTCAAGTCAAGTTTAGGAGACATAAGACACAAGTTAAATGGAAAACTACTGAAGACCATTTCACAGACAAAAAGGATGTGGTATGAATAGGTACTCCTATTTCGTCAGGAAAAAGAAGAGTAAAGTCAATGAGGTATATGATGAAAAGAAGATTTATCTTTAGAAAATTCCTTCATGAGTGTCTTCCCCTAAAAAACTTTATTCAATCTTTCTTTAAAATAAATATTCTCTGGATGAATGAATCCTAAATTTCTGAGTTTTTACAAATGTAATGGTACTAATAACAATAGCTATTTTGTGATCACCCATTATTGTATCAAGTACTGGGGAATTATAAAAATGAACAAGGAGGGATCTTGCTTTTAGAGACTTTACAGTGGGTTTGAACTTTTGTAGATATGACAAAATCACAATAATCATTTATTCTCTAATGCCAGCCAAGAACTGTGCTGAGTTGGCAACACACATAAGCTGCCAAAGTCCCTCTATTTCACCAGATGCCCCGACAGGGTGGTGATCTTGGTTGGCCCATGCATCATCCCACCAAAAAATAAATAAATAAATAAAATAGAAGAACTTATAAAGAATTTAAACAAAAGACAGAGACATTTAAAACACTCCAGGACTGTCTACAGTCAACACACAAGAACTACAGTCAATAATGAAAGAGTGCAGTTAACCAAGGTAAAAATGGAAGAAATCACCTTTAAGGCTCTCTGCTGGACAATGACTGTGGCACTCTGAAAACCACGATGCAGCAAAAACCGCATCTGGCATTCCAACAAGGAAAGTTAAGTGTTCTAAGACTCTCTAGCAAAAGATCTTGCAACACATTAAACTTCAAAACTGAGGAAGATGTCATAAGCTTCTGGATTTCATTACAAGATACACATTTGGACCTAAAACTTATAAAAGAAATGATTGACTTTCCTTGTAGTATTTCACAACCTTTGAGTACAGCATTAAAATGATTTTCCTTTTTTTTTTCCTCCACCAACTATAAGCTTCTGTTTTCTTACCCTGGGCATCTGAATCTTTTATGTGCTCCAGTTCTATTCACTGCCTGTTATTCAGACATTGAAATCCCAAATGTTAATTGTTCTTCCAAGTACATTGACAAAACAGCAGCTAAATAAGGGTAGACCAGACTGTGGTAGACTCTGACATGCATTTATGGAACAATGGGGCTCTGAGAGACAGCCTTGTAGCTCACGGGAAGACAGAAGATGTGCTATTTTGACTGCTTTGTAGCAGAATGGGGAACACGAGCACACAAGGGAATTATGCATTTTACTTAGTTTTGCCCAAAGTCCTCAAGGCAACAGGATCTTGTGATGTCATCATGAACTTTCCATTTCCATTGACACAAAGGCTAAAAATTTCTAATGACATCACAAAGGAAAATGGAATCTACTTAGATTCAACAAGAAATCTTCTTTTACCTTTCGTGAGTCTGGTACAAAAAAATGCAAGAGTCTTTCCAAACAGGGTGTATGTCACTGTGCTGAAACACTGTGGGTGACACCCTCCCTAATGAAATTCAAACCAGCCAAAAGAAAGAATCCATACTTTCGGTTAAATAAAAAAGATATACTGAATATTGAGCCCACCAACTTTTTTTTTTCTTAAAAGAAGGAAAATTATTTAAAGATATATTTCTTCAGGGACTTTCAAAACCAATATTTTTGTCCGTTTTTGAGGATAGTCACAGAAAAACAGAGGAAGGTACAGGAAGCTTCTACTTACAGGAATACAGTGCAGCTCAATCTTTTGTTTTTAAGGTGCAGTGATTTCAGTCTCTAAATGTAACTTCAGGCAGTCTGAAAAGAAACAGGTTAAAATCTCTTTCAGTTATAATTGGTATTTCAGATTTAATTAAAAATTAAACTTTCATAATGTTTCACCATCCAAAGCAATGCATTATCAGTCAAGCGTGGCTTTTTTTTTTTTCCCTGTTAAGGAAAAAAAAGAAACCTTCTTCCCAGAGTAGTTTTTTAATGAAAAGAAAAGGATCTAAAGAGTGAAGAGAGAAAAAGCAATTCTGAAAAACAAAATATGCCTCCATGTTAAGGATTTTGTAATGATATGAATAGAAACTTAGTGTTTTTGCATTTTAGCTATATTTTTATCTGATATTTTAGAAAATATTCCTAAACAACAACTTTTCAAAGATTACATAAAATTAACACTCAGAGAATAAATAAGAAAATCTATGGATTTGAATATACACATTAAAGAAAAAGTATGAGTTCAAATGGAATTGGGAAAAATGCTAGATCTATTTGTTTCAAATGACTGAATTGAATGGGTGGTGGGGCAGATGGTGAAGTAGAGGTAAATGAACATATTTAGTAACACAAAATGGTCATTGCACTGTATTATGGGTTAGTGTGCCTTATTTCACATCATATTGTATATCTTGTCAATGCAGTCCCGAGTCATCATGAACAGGAAGCATCACAGGAAGATCACCAGATTTTAAACCAGACCTTCTGATTTAAACTCCTGGTTCAAAAAACATGTATCTTTAATCTTCACATTTAAGAGTACATGAATTAAGATCTGAGCTTAAAACATCATACTATATTTTTCAGTCCCTTTCTTCTTCAAACAATATCATCTATAAATAATAGTTAAAAAACAAGTACACACTAGATTAAGTCATGTTTATTTTTAGCTTCAAATTGTTATTTGAAGGGATTTAGAAAAAGTTTTTAAAATGTAAAGTGGAGCTATTATAATTATCCTTCTTTTATTTTACAGCAGTATTTTTGAATATATATTTGTACCACTAAATATGGTATGTTTATGTTCAACCTCATATAATACAAAGTAATATTTTAATATTTCCACATATGAGAGTATAATCATAAATTACCCCTGAAACTGCACCTATTATTAGAATATGCATCTGGTTCTCACTTGTGAATCCTGTTTTCTTTTTCCTTTGGAATATATGGAAGAATAATTTGGGTAATGCGTCTATTTGATATACATAGATTTTAAATGCAAACTTGCTCAGCTTCACACTAAATTCACCCATGAATGGATTAGGCTTTTAAAAAATCACTGACATTGACTAACTAAACTTTTCCCCTGCTTCTCAAATGCCTGAATTAGACTGAAAATGCACCAGTGTAAAGACAGAAATTATGGAGGCGTCACCAGGGACAACTGAATGAGAGGAGGGGAGTGCACATATATCCTTATAAGGCAACAAAACATTCGTAAAAGAAACTGACAAAAATAACTGCTCAGAAATTATATGGAATAACAATAATCCCTGATAAATGATTCCAAAACATAAAAACTGCCCACCTCTACATGAATCCAAATCACCAACTAGTATTGTTCTACTCACCAATAAAATATGGTTAGTGAAACTGATTCATTGTCTAGCTCAGACAAGAAAAGGTGATAGAAACTGGGCTGGATATTTATATATGAACTATTTAACTGACAACTAGCAGTTCAGTTTAATCAGTCAGATCTCCTTTTTCTCAATTCACCAGATGTTGACTGAATTGAACTATCAGTTCAAAATAATAAAGTCTATTCTGTGAACAGTCTACTAAGTTACATTTCCCCTGCCCCTTATGTCCTTCCTCTTTGTCTTCTTTGACCTTTGTTTTCACTCCATTTCTGTGTGTTTCCTCCCTACTTTCACTTCTTGATTTCTCCCTCCCCCTTTCTCTCTCTGTCTCTGTCTCTTTCCCCCCTTGGTGAGGGTAATGAAGCTCAAAAATAACATCTTGTATCCTGTTGAGGAAAACTTGGTCACAACTATCCTTCCAGATGACAAACTCATTCTTAAATGTCTGTTTCTCAATCCAAAGAAAACAGAGCAATTGAGAAAATAGAGACACAACGTCACTTACCACCATCACCACTACCACCACCACTACTTTTAATTCCTATGCTGCATTCATCACAAGGGGGACGAAGTTTATTTACATTTTACCTAACCTCTAATAGGACCACAAATAAGACTAATAACAGGACTATTCTGTGGCACTCAGGCAAACGGCTGGGCAAAACAGATGGATCTTACTTTGCGCCAGGACTCAAAAATACAGTCGCCAACTCACTGTTGGCGACTACGTATCTTGGCCCAAAGATGGACCTGGAAATGGGACCAGTTGTCTTTGATATGAATTCTGCTCCTCTTCCTATCTGCCTCATGAACAAGTCATTAACTCTGTCACTATGTAATGGGACTCAGTATTGGGTAAAAACTGCTTGGAAAGCAGGTCATTAAGGTGGTAAAATATTATGAGGACATGTTGATAAGATTAAGGAGTAGAAAGTTAGGACAAGAACTTTCTTACTGGAACTACTATCTACTTTTCAACTTTCTGGTTTTTGTGTGTTTTATTTTTCCCAAATTCACACTATGTACAATGAACCCACTTTAAAATAGCAGACTAACAGAGTATGTGTTATCAATAAGAATAACTTGCTCCTGACATTTCAGGTTACAAAAAATTTTATTTTATTTTTGTTGTTGTTGTTGTTTTGTCAAACAGATCAATCTCAGTCATTATCAGAATTGATAACTAGTACCAGACTTCTCTAATCAGGACAAAACTATATAAGGTTTTATAGATTACAGTCAACATCCAATGATGCACTGAAAAACAGCTCAGTAATCAATGCAAATTACAAAGCCTGGAAGAATACTTCCTTCCAAGAGATCCTCTAGCAAAAGAGTTCTACATTTTGCACTAGTTAAAGATTCTGAATGGCTTTCCAGAGAAGTAGCAAAAGCTTTATATTACTGTAACCTATCCTGTGCTTCACAAAGCGACAGACAAAGCCACCAGTCAATTAAAAAAGAACTGAAGGGGGCGAGGAACTATAGATCTGAACATTGAGTAAGAAAAAAGGGTTGGGTTGTTTTTTTTTTGTTTGTTTGTTTTTTTGTTTTTTTTTACTACCTTCTACTTTTAAAATCCTCGCTTAGGAGTTTTAGATATCACCAGGTCACAGAACTTCAAGGAAAGAACAACAATGCACTCCAGTTTAGGAGGTCTTTTAATTCAGGCACTCCTTTTCCTTTTCTCCCAACCATTCAGCCCTAATTATATCTTACTCAGATTATTTTTGAGAGTTCATTCACCTCTCTATGATTTATTCATGTTGACACTGTTCAGATTTGATATTTAAAAGATACAAGCTCTGTCTGTGGTCAATATAGAAGGCTAATTATAATACTTTGGGGTTTTTTAGATTTTTTTCTTTAAAAAAACTTTATTACGGAAAATTTCAAACATATGTAAAGGTGAAGTACATAGTAAAAATGAACTCCTACATACTCACTACCCATAGTCAATTTATTTTCTAGCCACCCTTTTACCCACTTTTTCTTCTACCAGATCATTTCAAAGACAATCATAAATAGCATGTCATTTCATCTGCCTTAGTATGCTTTACTGAAAGCTAACAACTTTTTACAAACATAACTCATTTCATCCAATTTCAAAACTAAAACTAATATTCAATACCTCTTCAATGGTATTGAACATTCTGTCAATGTCAAAGAATTGACTTTTAAATATTTTTATTTTTTTTTCACTCTCCCTCCTTTCCTCTCTTCCTTCCTTCCTCACTCTTTCTTAAGGTAGCTACCTAGAATCAGGATTCATGTAAGATCAACATATTATATATGGATGATTTCCCTTTAATTTTTTATTATTTTAACTTCCTATTATGAAACAATTTTAGATTTATGAAAAGAAAGTACAGAAGGTTCTCATATTTCCTTCATCAACTTTTCCTAAAGTTAATGTTTTATATAACTAAGGCAAATTTGTCAAAGTTAAAAAATTAACATTGATACAAAACTATTAATGAAACTGTAGACTTTATTTAGAGGCTACCAGTGTTTCTACTAATATCATTTTTGTGTTCCAAGAATCAATTCAGGATACCAAATTGCATTTAGTATCATGCAATCATGTCTACTCTTCTCATCTGTGACAGTTTCTCAGTCCTTCCTTGTTTTGCATGACCTTGAAAGTTATTGGTCAAGTATTTCATGTTACTGAATTTAAATTTTTTTGATGTTTTCTCCTAATGAGATTGGGATTATGAATTTTAGGGAAGAATACAGAAGAAGCAGAAGTTCCCTTTTTATAATATCAGATATTATGATATAACATCACACATCACTGTGGATGTTAATACTGGCTCCTTTGTTATGATGGTCACTGTCAGGTTTCTCTATATTTCCTTCAGTTTTAATAAACATAGCTTTGTTTTTAATAGCATGCTGATGTATAATTTATATAAGATATAATTCACCCTTATTAATTATAATACTCAATAAATTTAAGAAAATTTAGAGTTGCATAGCCATTATCACAATCCAGTGTGAGAACATTTTTGTCAACCTTACAAATCTCCTTCCTAACCTGAGGCAGTTAAGCCCCACTTTCAGCCCTAGACCCATGCAAATAATCTGCTTGCTCTCTCTAAAACTCTGCCTTTTATGGACATTTCCTGCAAATGCAATGATATAACATGCATTCTCTGTCATGTAGCTTTTTTTCATTTATAATAGACCTTTTATAAAGATTTATTTCTGCTGTTGCATGTAGCAACAATGTATTCCTTTCTGCTGATGGATGGAATTACATTGTATGGATGTAGCACATTTTGTTTATCCATTTATCAGTTGATGGACATTTGGATTGTTCCCAGTTTTTATTTCTGACTATTATGAAAAATACTGCCTTGAACATTTACTTGTGTACAGGTCTCTGTGTGATGTGTTCTCATTTCTCTCAGGTATATAACTAGAAGTGGAATAAATAAAATT